TCATGAATTCTGAAGATATTGTAAATTCCGAAGATATCATGGATTCTGAAAATATTACTGAATCTGAAGATTTTATTAAATCCGAAGATATTATGGATTCTGATACTTTGGATTTGGATGAGGATTTTATATCTCTACCTAAAAATTTTAGCATTCATTGGACAGGCTTTTTGCATTCAAAACAATTAAAAAATGATAAAGCCCGACGATATAATGCAAAATGTACATATTGTGCCCAAATATTTGAAGCACATAAAGAAGCAATGACAAATCATATGCTTAATCTATGCCGTAAAATTTTAGCTAAAAGTAAAATACTTTATTCATGTACTGTAAACAAAAAAAAATCTGAAGAAGTTACTGAAGTTCCTACTCACAAAGCAGTTTTAGTAACTGATTATTTTGATAAAGCTATTTTATCATCAGAAAAAACCAATGAATTATATACTTTGTTGTTACGAGCATTAGTATATAGCAATATTCCATTTACTTTTGCTGAAAATCTATTTTTTATTTTATTTTTAAAGTTCTTATGATCAAGCTATAGACTACCATCAAGATATAAATTATCAAACAATATAATTCAAACAGAATATGCACGAATATTAGTAGAAATGGTTGATCGAATTAGTGAAATGTCTGATTTAACTCTTTCACTTGACGGATGAACGGATGTATCTAATAACTCTATATATGCTTTCCTTTTACATAAATTTGGAAATATTAATGAAATTATTAATATAGAAGAATTTTCTAGTATTCGGCATACAGCAAGTAATTTACTTGTTGCAATAATAAACTTATTGCAAAATGTCTCTATAGATTTTAGTAAGATTATCGCTATAGTTACTGATAATCCTTCGGTTATGATACGGCTTCGAAAGGATATTTCAGAAAAATATTAATATGTTATTGGTATTAAATGCTGCTTGCATATTTTTAATTTAATAGTAAAAGGAGTTTCATCATATCAGCAATATCAAAATACGATTAATAAAAATTTAGTATTAGTAAATTTTTTTACTAGTTCACATTTTTGGAATGCAAAGTTAAGAAAATGGGCTTTAGAAAATAATATTAAAACTGGATTATAAACTTTTTGTGAAACCTGATGGTATTCACTTTCAAAAGTTTGTCTTTCAGTTCAAACGGGTTTCAAACTTGCCTTGAATATAATAATAATTTTCCTAATGAATGCCCTTCTTTCCCAACTAAAATCAAAGAAATAATTACAAGTCATCGCCATTTTTTTGAAAATGAACAATTTACTACAGTTCTTCGATATATAGTTGATGCAATTGCGAAACTTGAATCTAATAATACAATTTTAGGTGATATATTTGCAGAGTTGTTATTTATTTATAAAAAGTTAAAATCAAGTGAATTTGAAGATTTTGATTATGGATTAATTGATCATGCAAAAAATATAGTCAATTTTCAAGCAAAAGAATTTGACGAACCTATATATTACTTGGCATTTTTTTTAAATCCAAAATTTCGTAAAATTGCACTATCAAAAAAATTAACTTATGATGATATTGTAGTTTATGCATTGACTTTTGCGCAAAAATGGAGCTTTATACGTGATCAAGCTACACAAATTTCACAAAATTTATTAAATTATTATAATAATGAACCACCTTTTAATTTAACAACTTTAGAACTATGAGCATATTGGAAGCATATTTCTTATCAGGCTGGTACGTTAAAAATATTGGCTCTAAAAATATTTGCAATTTGCTCTCATTTTGCTAGAGTAGAACAACTTTTTTCACGTATTGGCATGACAAAAACAAAAATTCAAAACCGATTAGCTACTTCAACCTTAAAAATGATTTCACAAATAAATCTTGCTTTATCTATAGAAGTTCCTAAAAAAAATCCAACTAAAAAATTGGTTGAAAAAGATAAAGATATTGATGATTTAGATAATTATTATTTTCTTCAGATTTTACTGATGAAGAAGATAATGAATTAGAATTTAGCCACATTCAAGAAATTTCTTTAGAATCGATTCAAAATAATTCAGAGTCATTTATGGAGGAGTTTATTAATTTTGATATTATTGAAGAATTAATTACAATATCGGATAAAGTAAAACAAAATATTGATAAAAATGAAAATACATCTAATTGGACTTTAGATGATATTTTAAATACAGGTAATAAATAGATCCATTCTCTTTTCGACTGCTCTCTTACATAAAAGGTAATTGATTTATTATAGTTTATTTTTTATTAAAATTAAAAGATAACTTTATAAAAATATTAGAAGATACAGTATTCTTATTCATTAAATAAATTTTATATTTTTAACTACTTTTATTATTGATTTTCATTACCAATACGCAAAAGTTTTGATAAACTATTTATAATCCTCTTAAGCAGTAATTAAAATCTTTACTTTGATCTATCGTTGCAATTAAACATCAATACAATTATTAGAAAATCACAGTAATAGTAATGCTTAAGTATTTCAATAATCTTGCCAACCATTATGGCGCATTAGCAAAATACCCAATATTTAAAAAATTTGACTACTAATATGTTATTGCTTAATTTCGCAAATGCACTGTAATAGCTAATCATATTATTGACTTTTATCCAAAATGCTACAAAATAGCTAAAATTAATACTTGTACACTATTTCGACCACTATTAAATTGCATCTTGATTGATGTTTGAGAACACCCTATGATGAAAATTATGAAGTATTTTAAATGAATAAATATAAAATACTATATATTTAAGTAACCAGTATTTTCTGATTATCTATAAGTTCAAGAGTTAAAAAAAATAAAGCAGATAACGATCTTTGAAATTCATTAAACAATAAAATATTGTATATTACCTGTTTTAAGAATCTTGAATTCTTTTTAGAGTTTCATCCTATACACATAATTTTTAAATACATTACAGTCGTCCTTCATTTATATCAACCTATTTAGATTGCTCTTACATTCATGTTGATAGTGATATTAATGAGTGAGCATATTAAAGTTGATATATATAAGGGAATACAATATAATTTTAATATAAAAGTTTATTGTATAGCCTAGGTTGATATTAACAAGGGACGACTGTACTAATAACAACAGTATTTCTGTTTGAACTAATTTTTAGAACTTATTGTTACTTGAACTCTTTATGTAATGCTAATACGTTATTAAAAGCTTTGTAGATAGTAATATTGTTAATAATTGTAATAAACTAACAATATTATTAAATAAACCAGTTCGAAGTTCTAAAAGTTTCTGATATATAGTATATAATGGGTGTTCTCAAGTATTACGATTTTGTATTGGTCGAAATAGTGTACAAGTATTAATTTTAGCTATTGTTATAGCATTTTGGATAAATGTCAATAATATGAATGATATGTAATATTATTGAGATATGCTCAAGCATTACTATTACTGTGATTTTCTAATAATTGTATTGATGCTTAATTGCAACGATAGACCAAAATAGAGATCTTGAGAGGAGTCAAAATAGGCAAAATTTTCCAAAAAATATGTATTGATAATAAAATCTATAATAAAAATATAAAAACGTTTGGAAAATATATAGTTTTAATTAGTATGTATGTACAAAAGCTTTGACCAAAATAGTAAATTCATTGTTCATTTTTTGGTACGTATTTAAAATTTTTTTTTCTTGTAATAAACTACTTTATTTATCTTAATAATAAATACAAATATGGATTGTTTAAAAGTAAAAAATATAATATAATGGTGCACCTAATGGCACGCCATGCACCAAAAAGTTTTATTGGTGCACCAGTGGCACGCCATTAGATTATAACTGCACCAGCAACCCTACTCAGGACACTTAGCTGAGATCACAGCCAGCTGGTATAATGATAATAAGAATGATCTATTGTTCTGGGAAGAAGAAGGTAACCCAGAAGATAGTTTTGTCCCAGCATTTACCAAATATTTCGCCACTATGGAACGAAAACATCGATAGCAATTAGAATTGACCTCACTTACCCAAAGCGAAAATGAAAAAGTAGATCGATACGTCTACAAATTCAAAAGTCACTTGAAAAGAGTCAATCCAGACAAGGAAATGCCTGCTACATACATAATTAGAATGTTCATGGGAGGCCTCCACAGTAGAATAGCTGCTTTAATATTAGAGAGGACTTCGAAACCCTAGATGAAGCCATTGCTAAGGCAAGAAAGATTGAAGCCAGCAATTATTATGAAGCCAGGAAAGGTAGCAAACCTACTGGTAAAATCATCAATGATATAACCAAAAAATTACAACAGATAGCCATCAACTACAAAAAGCTAACTATCAACCTTGCTGCCCAAGCCAAAATAAGCTCTCAATCATCCCAGTATAACCAAAATCGATATCTACTCCGAAATCCAAGGAGTGAAGGAGTGGGATATTATAATTGCAGAAGAAGAGGCCATATTGCCCGAAACTGTCATTTTGAAAGACATCCAAACTCTCAATGACTATTCAGGGACTCTCACAGCTCCACTCTACATACTAGAAATGTCAATTTATGTGATATTTATAATAATAACCCTGAAAACGAAGCCTATGTTATTAAGCGATGAATAGAGAACAAAAATCAATGGACGAAAGATTAAGAAAAAAAGTTGCTATCGAGCCTACTCCACCTTAGCAGCTTTCACAACCTACTGCTATGGAAGAAATTATTTCTGTTCAACCCCAGTTGCAGAATAACCCTGAGTAAAGTGTAAACATGGGCCTTCAGTAGTGGATTCTGCACCCCCATATGGTATCGCTAAGGATTTATCGGAACAACAGGCCAATGCTACATATGCCCAACTTTGCATATTCCAAAACAAAGAAATAACTTGGCAAAAGCCTTGCGGCACCTGATCATTAATGAGATAGAAACCACCAATTTCGCTGAAAATGCACCTAGCCAAAGAACTACTGCGGCTAAATGCTATGTTCGGGTCAATAATAAACCAATTTTAGCAGTTTTGGACTCAGGTGCCGCAGTCAGTATACTCTCAATGAAATTAGCTAAAAGACTAGGCCTAGCCATAATAGAGCCCTCTAATACAATAATAATAACTGCTAATGGGACTCAGGAACGTATCTTGGGAAAATCACTAGAAGTAAACCTAGCAGTGCAAACAACTCTAATACCCACCGATTTCAAAGTGATAGAAAACCCAGAAGAGATGATGCTTCTTGAATTGGACTGGTTCCAAAAAGTGCGTGCCTAATTGTATTTCGATACAAAAAAATTATCTCTTCGATACTTGGAAAAGCAGATAGAAGTCCCGATTTATCAAGCAAAAGAAGAAAAGACTGAATCTCCCTCCAAAGAATATAGCAAAGATAATGACTTCTTTGATCTATATGAAGAAGAAAATAACCTAGAAGAGGTAGAAAGTTACTATACAGATGATGCTGAAACAGATAAAATAAAATACAACCACCTAGAAGGCATTGATAGCCCCGCAATATACTTGATGGACCTAGAGGAACTTCCAATACTCAAAGAAAATAATGATGACTCACTAGAACCAACCCCCAAGAAAATCATTGAAGGGCTAGTACAATCCGAAGCACTAAGCAAAAAACAAAGAAAGGATGCCACACGTACTTTACAGAAGTTTCAGAACCACTTTGCGACAGGGCTACATCAATTGGGCCAGTATCACGAACTCCAGCATGAAATCAACACCGGCAATGAAAAACCTGTTAGGCAGTCTGCCTACCGAATTGCCCAGACGAGCAAGACTTTTTGAACCAAGAAATTAGCAAATTGTTAGAAAACAAATTAATAGAAGAAATAAAAAGCCCTTGGGCTTCACCAGTATTTATAGTTCCTAAAAAAAATGGGAAATTAAGGTTATGCATTGACTACAGAAAGTTAAATGCTATAACCAAGAAAGACATTTACCTGTTGCCACGAATAGATAAGCTCCTAGAGATATTTGGGAAGGCGGAGTGGTTTTCTTCTCTTGATCTAGCCAGTGGATACTGGCAAATAAAGATGAAGACTGAGGATCATGAAAAAACTATATTCATAACGAAACAAGGCACTTATGCCTTTAATGCTCCGGCCACCTTTCATAGGGCTATGAACCACACCTTACGTGACTATATAAAACATTACGTAGAAGTGTATCTAGATGATATAATCATCTATTCAAAAACCTTCCAAGACTACTTAAACCATCTTAGTACCGTTCTAGCAACCTTAGCCGAAGCCAGGTTGAAACTAAACCTGAAGAAATGTGACTTATTTAAAAATAATATTAAATTTTTAGGGCATGAGGTAGGAAAAGCTGAAATTACCCCAGATGGAGACAAAGTAAAATAGGTTAAAAATTTTCCCATACCGGCTAATTTATAACAATTGAGAGGCTTTATAGGTCTAGCCTCGTACTATCGCCGTTTCATTAAGAATTTCGTCACCATAGCAAGGCTATTACACAAGTTGCTAGAAAAAAATATACCATACCAATGGGAAATGGCTCAGCAACAAGCTTTCGAAACATTGAAGACCCACCTTATTACTGCTCTAATTTTAAGGTACCCTAATTTTGAAAGAACTTTTTACCTTCATACTGAAATGTTTGGTATTGGACTCGAGGCAGTATTAGCCCAAAAGGACGAAAACAAGAGAGAATATGCTATTGCTTATACAAGCAAAAGTCTTACGTGTCCTGAGAGAAATTATGCCACCCACCACAGAGCTAGAATGCAATGCTGTGGTTTGGGCAGTTGAATATTTTCATCACTACTTAGAGTACAAACTCTTCATTGTTGTTACAGACCACGCAGCATTAAAATGGCTTTACAATACCGCCCTGAAAGGAAGAAGAGCTAGATGGATCCTACGCCTTCAACCCTATAACTTCACCATCATACACAGATCGGGAAGAGTACACAACAATGCTGATGCATTATTACATATGATCACAAATATGCCTAGCCAAGAACATGGCAACCACGAAACTGTTAGCCATTATCAAAAAGCAGAAGATAAGAGAAATATTGAAGAAAATCACTAGGGTAAATTTATATCTGAATTTCAAGGAACCAAACCTACCGAATTTGAAGAGGTAGAAGTTTTTAGGGCAATTGCCCAAGAATACTTCCCTGAAGAACCCAATGAAGAGTTAGAAATAGTTCATTGGGACCCTAATGCTAAAGAAAGTGAATGAGAAGATTATGATACTGATAAGTATGAGATTTGGGAATGTGAAATAGATAAAGAACTCACCACCAGTGAAATAGAGTGTGAAAGGTACTTTCAGGACCTTTTGATCGAACTGGCTATAGAAGCCGAAATAGAAATAACATGGTCTACCCGGAATGGATACCAACATGAGTTTCTAAATCATAATACTCCAGAAAACTATCAACACTCTATAACATGGAATGAAGCCTAACAAATAGATATACCCCAATGGGGAGAAATAGCCAGAGGGCTCGAATTTGATAATGATGATGAATTAAATAAAGAGAATATCATCTACCCCAACCAAAGTTAGTGTGAAATCGATAATAGCAGCCTGTTTCCAGAATTCTTTGATAATAATAGTAATTTTAAAGAATGGCCCCAAACCTTTGACGAATTTATTGATTGGGAAGCCTATGATAGCATATGAAGAGTGGGAAAGAACAATATACCTACTTTCACTTAACAAAGAAATATTAAATATATATATAATGACATAGGCCTTTTTGACCTAAAATGTCCATAAAACAGTGAACCTCTTAAAGCAAAAACCACGTTAAATTAGCACTCTACTTATATATAAAAAAAAAAAAAAATAAAAAATCAAAATAAAAAAAATATAAGAGAGAATACACTGAATAATTCAGACCTGACAATAGAAAAAGGATAGTCAGGATGGAGTAGGGTGAGTTGGGGCCCTATTCAAAGAGAAGGAAATGGCAATATTATTTACGTAAGAGCAGAACGAATAGTAGCACCAATTATAAAAGGACAGCATCAAAAAAGGGATACAAAGCTATTTTTAGGAAAAGCCCTGAAATTGAATTGAAGAATGTCTAAACGAAGTATAGTATACCAACAATCTTTGAGAAAGAATTGTTAGGGCTAGAAAGTTAAGAAAAGAACAGTATTAGAAAGAAGGATACGAGAAGAAAAGGATTGATAGTAAATAGAGACTATCTAAATGAAGTATACCCACAATCTTTGAGGAAGCATTGTTAGGGTTAAAAAAGAACAGTATCGCAATTGATGAAAAAGTTGAAACCAACTAGGTTAATAAATAAGCAAATTTGGACAGATTGGGAATTACAAAACCTAGTGGAAAAAGAGAAAAAAAACTCTGAATTTAAATAGAAAGACCTATACAGATTGGTTGCTATTATCAAAATGGAATCTACGAAGAATTGACACTAGAAAATGCTTGGACGGCTTAAAGGAATTAAGTAGTAGCTAAAAAGAATCGAAGTAGAACATTAAAAATGAAAGTAGATTAGGAAAAGTGGCATCACATTTACCAGAAATAGCAGCCAAATCTTCAGAGCGAAACTAATAGATAAGAAAAAGATACCACTTACCCAAAAGATATGTAAAGAGAACTTAAACTCGACATTAAGCTCAATTCAGACCAGGTTGTCGATATCTTGGCATAAATCGAATTCAAGGAAACTTATAAACGAAAATTCCAAAATGGATTCACAATTATATGTGGCATTAACCACATATCTTCTTTATTGATAGTACCCAATACACTATGAAAATTAGTAGCGCAGACAATTGGAAAAGCAAAGCTGATTTTTCTAAACTAAAAATGGAAATTTGTTCAAGAAGAATAGAAAGCCTAGTGGAAAGCTACAAAAAGTCCTCCAAGAAGGAGAAATAAAACAAATACTAAGCCTGGCACACAACCATTCCACCAGGGCCCACTTTGAAAAAGACATAATGTTTAATAAAATTTGAAGCTTCTATTACTAGCCTCAGATGTATCATGACATACGTGAGTATATCAAGACATGTGAGAACTGCCAATTGCATGGGAAAAAGAAATCCAAAGAACTACTATGCCCCATACCAGTCAAAGCCCCATTCCATAAAGTGGGTATAGATATCGTTGGGCTGTTACCTGTAACGCCTCGTTCCAATAAGTATATAGTCGTTGCAACCAACTATATGACAAAATGGCCCGAGGCATGTGCAATTCCTAGAGCTAATGCTAAAGAAGTAGCCAAATTCATATACGAAGAGATAGTATGCCGGCATGAATGCCCTAGCATTATACTATCTGACCAAGGATCCTATTTTAACAACCACGTGGTAAATAAGCTTCTCGCAATCATGAACACTGAACATCATAATTCTTCTCTATATCACCCACAAACAAATGGGCTAGTTGAACGTTTTAATCAAATGTTATGTAATGCCATTGCTAGATTGATAACGAACGTGACAGACTGGGACCTTATAATATCACCAATTTTATTTGCTTATCACATGGCAAAACAAGCCACGACTTATGAAACACCCTTTTACTTGGTATATGGGAGGGAAGCCCAATTACTCCTGCATCCTAGTGAGTTCAATGATTTGTTGAATGGAACGATTATTTAAAAGCTGTATGAGATCGACAACGATCTCCCACAAGCCCGTGGAAACGCATTATGCCAAATCGGTAAGGAGCAACAAAAGCAAAAGGCACGTGATCGACAAGTCAAAGCCACAGATGACTACAACATTGGCGACAAAGTGCTCATTCTCGAAGCCAGAAAATTGGACACCTGTAGCTATAAGCTAATGTCTAATTGGAAAGGGCTGTACTACGTCCATGCTAAACTTACAAAAGGCATCTACAAATTGAGAGAATAAAGCGGGGAAGTTCTTGCAGTACCCCTTAATAAAACATTGTTTAAGCCCTATTATAAACGAAAAATATAAATACTGTGAAAAAAAAAAAAAAGAGGAAAAAGATACATACAAAAAAGAAAACATACAAAAAAAAAAAAAAGAAGAAGAAACACAATTCAAAAAAAAAAAAGAAGACAATCAAAAAAAAAAAAAGAAAAAACACAAATACAAAAAAAAAAAAAGAAAAGACACAATCAAAAAAAAAAAAACAACAAACTCATAATATATACCTTTTTTTTTAAGAAGAATGGGTAACATGACCTCCGTTCAGAGGATCCAATGGAACCAATACAGCCTGGACCCTCTCGAAGTAGACCCAATACAGCCTGGACCCTCTCGAAGTAGACCCAATACACTGTCCTGCAATAGAAGAAACCGATCTCAACACAAAGTTGGCTATCATATTCTATCACCTCCTCAATGCAGTTCGTGAGGGTGATAGAATAGAAAGTCTCGTCTACGCCTATTATCTAGGCTCATACCTCGACATAATCCCTGTACCTAGACAATGGGTTATTAGAGGTATAGTTACACACCATTACTGCATCACCGCTCTTCGAATCTATTATGCTTTTTGCTGTTATGGTGGTGTAGAACAACTATACTGTACCAGCTACACTACACTCAGCAGAATCCGACATCTAAGCAATGCAGATTTTTGCAGCATCTGCTGAGGCCACATCCTCGTGGCACTCAAATTTAAGTAGGGGGGAACTGTGAAAGGCATATCTCACCCATATTATTATTTATTTTATTATAATATCTGCCCCATTTCATTTTTTAACTTATTTCATTATTATGTATTACGTTATTATATTTTTTATTATTATTATTTTATTCTTACCCCGGGTCTCTTCCCTATATAGAAGGACCTATGTCATTCAAAAACTTGATCCAAAGATCAAGTCGTCCTTCTTAATCAGGCCATTACGGCACCTTAGTACTATTAGCTCATTTAGTACCATAGAATTAGTGCATTATGTCTTCTTAATTGTAACTTTGGTACTTTATTGTACCGTACCTTGCTCATGGTACATTTTTTATGTCATCTAACATAAAGAAGCGCGTCAGACCATCCAAGACGCAGTAATGTAAAAAAGTATTTAAGCGAATTTTCGCAATTGCAAATAAACTCAGTCAGCTTTGAGTCAGAAAAGTCTGCTTTTGAGGAAAGCAAGATAGTAAAGAACTCATATTGAGTTGAAATTAATAAACCTTGAAATAATTAAAGTCAAGTAGTGACTTAGTGAGAATTATTACCTTTCGTCCGACAGTTTAAAGTTCTATACCCAAATTAAAAACCAGTTGTTACCCCTAAGCCCCATACCATTTAAAACTTGTCTTTGCTATAAACAGTAGTATAGGGATGTTAAGTAGTCCACGGGGAACTAGTTTGGACCAGGTCCAAACCCGGACTTTTAAGGGACTAGTAGGACTAGTTGAAAACTGGTCC